TGCCCCCAGTTAAATTTGAAAGGATCGAGCTGCATTGGTGGAGGCTTCATCGCTATCCTCTTCCCTTCCATGTCTCATGCTTGAATATTTTAGATAAACAGGGACCCTCTGGTGGTGTTAGAAGGGTTCTGCCAACAGGAAGCCGTGTCCGTCTCTTCACCACAGAGCAAGGTGCTTCCCCAGCCCTGTCTTCAAGACTGGCCCTGTCCTTTCTCCTTGTGAAATGCTCCCTCTCTGATACGATCCATTGCCACCTAGTGGTCACAGGTAAGACCACGTGTCCCAGAAACTAGGCAAATGTGGGACTTGGGTTTAAGATTTTAATGTGTTGTTCCTTTTTCTAGTGTAATGTAGAGTTTCAGGCTATAGAATTGCATCTGAGAAGAGACCATTTCATGTTTTTCCTGTAGCTAATTGCATTAAACTAGGTTTAAAATGCTCCCTGCCCTGTTGGAGTCATGGTGAATAGGGAGAAATGCCTTTCAAGCACAGTTTCTAGTAGGGTATGTTCTATTTGCTCAGTTGTGGAGAAGGAAGACGGATCTTTGGTGACTCTTCCTTACTTTGTTTTAACTCCAAGATGACACCCATATGATTGTGCCTGGCCCTTGGTTTGTTTGTAGTTCCTTTCTCTGGGTCCTTGGTATAGGCAAGGCTTTACTTAATGCCCCTGTTGGAGATAGCTTTCCCTCTTCCTTTGGGAATCTTCCCCACAGACATCATTAGAGGACACAGCTCCATGTTACGGTAAGCACATGGGGAGGAGTGGGCAGAATCGAGACACTTAGGAATCAGAATGGACATCCTTGGGAATGGGCATTGTATGTGAAGCAGACTGACCTGTTGCGAATGGCACATGGGTGTCAGGTTGTGTGGCAAGACAGGTAGGGGTGCTCTTTATCATCCATGATACTCTTCATCATCTTTGGGGAGAGGACTTCTGGGGGGAGAGATTGGTTTTGAGTGTATAAAGCTTTACCTGGGATTGGGGATGCAGAGTAAACTGTGGTCTTTCCAGGATTTGTATTTATTTCTCAGTTCTCAGTCCTGGGGCCTTTCTGGTGACTCATGCACTACACCTCATAAGCCAGCTTGTGTTACTTTGCTCAGTCAGGTCAGTACAGCATGTCGTGAAGATCAGCCCTGTCCTAGACACTCTTTGCATGTTATTACACAAAACTGCTCATGAATAGTTTTAGAATCATTCCACATACAAAGTGACAAGGCACAGAGGTAAATGTATTATGTTCAGAGGAGGACAGGTTAGCAAGGCTAGGGATTTTGGTTTTCTTGTGCTTTTAAGTAGACAAGAACCAGCCCTGTGGCAAATTTTATCTTAGCAGTTGGCCTTAACTAACTAAATCGCTTTCTAAGACTAGAAAGAAAGATATGAATGAGTAGGAAGAAAATTTTAAAGGTAGTTACAGTAGTTACATAGTACTTGAGTAATTTTGAAGGCACAGAAAGGCAGTCAGTCCACTGAAAAGGAATACAAGGTTATCTCAAGTTCTTTATTATGTGGGTGTATATGTATGTACGTGTGTACACAGTTGTGTTGAATTTTACCCAAGGAGAAAAAGGAAATCGATTGGCTTATGATTTCATGGGTAAACTTGTATAAAATTAAGGTGGATTCTGTGGGTTAGTATTTACTGAGACAGAACATGACATCTTCAGGAAGGAAAGGCACTTTCCTCTGGCCCCTGTAGACAATTTTGGGGGTAGTCTCTCTAGTTCTAGATTTCTTTCTGCTTCCGTGTCTTTGTTTTCCTGGTTACCTCATTCAGAAGCAGATCTTTTTCCTCCCTGGACGCAGGCGGTGGCCACTTTGCTTGACTCTGGCCAGCTTTCTTCTTTTCTAGCAACAGATGTTCTGCAAAGTAAACATTATTGACTCTGCTTTGGTTCCCTGCTGTGTCGCGCACTGTCTGAACTTGAAGCAGTGAGGTTATTTGAGCAGGGGCTGTGATGCTTGGTGTGCACTCAGCCCTAATACCAGCCCCCAGCTTACTGGAATGTGAAGGCTGCAGTCGAGAGTGAGAGCTCCAGAAATAAATTTTTAGGGAGCTTCACATCTTTATTTTGCATAAGATACCGTAGTTCTTTTGTGTGAACACAGGCAAAACCCAGCAATTTTCTAGTTTTCTTATTTTGATGTCTTTGTTTTGTCCTGAGTAACACAGGGGTTATTTTAATGGGGTGAAGAAGCAGGTGTTCCCATGTTATGCCGACCTGAGCTCAGAAGACTGGGTCACAGGTGACTTTGTGTTTTAATGTCAGTCTTAGACTCCTCTGAGTTCTATGCACAGATAGCTGTCCTTATCTTCCCCAGGTCCCGTTTCTTGGGTTGATTCATATGTTGGGAAAGAAAAACATGGCCTTTGACGTAAACCTTGTAGTGTGCAGAGGGTTTGTTCAGTGTGTCTTTCCACCTCGCCTGCAGGGATGACAGAGTGCATCAGATGCCATCACTCAGACCTTATGACTAACCCAGGCTTAGTTACATAGCTGAGAAACGCTGCAGCTGGAAATTTAGCCCAGGAACCAGGGAGGGTTGGGATTGATCAGCCTATAACTAGCACCTCATCGAATGCAAGCGGAGAAAGGGAGGCTCCCAAAGAAGCTTGAGATGCTGTCCTTAAGTCTGGAGCATGGATTCTGAGCCAGCGAAATAAGAGATGTCTAGGTCCAAGGTAAATTCACTTTCATGTTCTACTGATAGGGATTCTCATTCTCCCCAGCTTGTCTTACTGGCTAGGCAGCCCATTCGGACTCTGTGTTATGCCTATTAAGGAATATGCCCCCTTCTCAGCTTCGTGTGACCCACATTGCTTCTCAGATTTGTGCTGTGGCAGGGTGTGTTCTGTGTTGCTGGACAGTGAAATCAGATTTCCTTCTGGTCATGAGCTACCAGGTTAACTGGGTCCTCCTGTGAAAGGATCCACAAAGGCCCTGTTGTCATTATTAGCCACTCCTTGATTCTCTCTGGCAGCTACCTTAGCAGCACAGCTTTTCAGGTGCCTGTTGGAAGCTTTCCCAAGCCTGGCTTACATTTCAGTCCCCCCACCCTTCACTCTGTTGAGATGATTTGCCAGCCCAAATCTTTCTTGTCCTATTGGGGAGGCACAGGAGGATTGTCAGTTGGGTTGAGAAACAAACCTGTTCTAATCTGTGCGCGGGCCTTTCTTTGTGAGTTCCAACTGAAGGAACATCTAGATTAAAATAAAAATGTGCGCAGCCACACCTGCGTTGGATGCATGTGCATTCTGGGGCTCTTTGAGGGCTTTGTGTTCTGCTCTGAAGTCTGACTCTTCTTTTTCTTTGTCTCTTGCTTGTCAGTGGCCTCTTCCTCATAAGTCTTCTGACTTTGAGATATAGTTGTTTCTTTCTTGATTTACCAGAGAATAATTTGTGGTTTGAGGGATATTCTTAGCCTGAGTCAATTTTTAGAGAAGCCTGTTTCCCCTGCCAGCATCTTTGGACTTTTTGTCAAGGACCATATTGTGAAAGTGACTGAATCAGGAGGGACGGGAGGTTGGCCCGTGTGTTCTCCTTTCCTACCCTTCCTAAGAGGAAGTGCCTTCCTCTTACAGTGTGGAACTAAGTTCTTTGCACGAGCCATAGCTGCCTCAGAACTTATGTAATGTGAGCGTATGCGTTGGGAGCCCAGGATCCATGCAGTAGCCTGAGCCTGGCTTTCCCACTGGCAGCCATTACTTAGAACCAACACGGGATGTCGGGTTCATATATGGTTGCCTCAACATGCATTCATTCAGCACATGCTGAGCAGGGTGCACCACCAAAGAGGAAATGAATAGAACACAATAAAAAGTTAAAACCATGATCCCAAACCTCAAGGGATAAAATGGGAGCTAAAAAAGAGATGTGCTGAGGATCACTGATACTTTTATATAGAAGGTTATGTTGATCTGTGAAGCCAGAACACGTCACCCCCCACCCATCTTATTAACACCAGGCCTTGTGACTGGTTATGCCTCATATTTCCCTCTGGGAATCTGAACATAATGCCATTTCCCCGGCAATGAAGGAAGTATATATGGTGGTAATTTGAATGATTAGCCTAATCTGCAGGAAGGCTGCACACAGAATTAAGTTAAGCTCATTTGTACTGAGCAGCCTTGTCTGTCAGGCCATTTAAAGGTGCCTTGGTGGTTTTATATCCTTAACAGAAGCCCAAGGCTCAGGAAGGATCATTGGCTTTTATTACTGTCTTAAATGGAAGCTTATTTTTAAAATTAACAGGGACCTCTGAGACTTTTCCTTATGGATACCATGTGTGGGGTGTGTTTTTACCCCAGTACAAAACATTGCCAGGGCTTTGTTCTCCCGGTGGTGGTGGATGTGGCCTCAAGGGAAATGGTCAGGTGGAAGGAAGAGAGGTGTCTGAGAGCTTGGGCTTTGTCTGTGTCTCAGTTGGAAGAGGAAGTCTGGGTGCTCCTGTGCCATGTGGACCCGCAGCTTCAAGCCCTTCCTTTCAGTTTTCCCCAGGCTCCGTCCCTCAAGTCGTTTTGTGTTGTTAGACTGAGGGGATACAAGTGGTGGGCACTGTGCTGGCCACTTGGAAGGCTTGGCAGAGTGGACACACAGGCCGCGAAACTGTTCTTGGCGTTGATCCAGGCTTCCTCCTCCGCGACCGCCTGAGGCAAGTAGATTTCCCCGGGTGTCAAATGGAGATGACATGGGGATGACCCAACTCACTGGATGGCTGGAGGAAGCAGAGACAGGATTAGAACTGTTCAAGCAAATCACAAAAAATATTAACTTTTAGAGCAAATCATTGTTTCAGGTTATAAATAAATATTTACTATTTTGAGTTTACCTCCATTTGTGCTTTGAAATGATCTCAACAATAATCTGTAATGGTCTCTGGAACAAATCTGCTTGCCGCCATATTCGAAGAGGAGCTAAAAGGGGCGGCAACTAGGAAAACCAGTTGAATTTTTATAACTCCATTTTTTTCTTTTCTTTTTTTCTGTTAGATTTATCTACAGCAAAGAGGAAGTTTGCAGATTCCTTAAATGAATTTAAATTTCAGTGCATAGGAGATGCAGAAACAGATGACGAAATGTGTATAGGTAAGTCATAACCACAGAGACGGTAAAAACATTTACTATTTGTTACGGCTTTCACGTCCTAGCAAAGCCTTTTCCTTGAGAGAGAAGGCCTGTAAGGTCAGTGAAGACAGAGCCTACAGTGGTAGCGCAGGGCCAGAGATATGTAAGCCTGGGCCTGGCGATTCTGAACTACTCCTTCGGTTCTGAGATTGCCTCACTCACCTCCCGGCATACAGGATAAACCTGGAGGTTTTGCAGTAGTCTGTCTTGTCTTCCTTTCCTTGGTATTTTCCTTCTGGCTGGTTTGTGACATTTTTCTCCTCAAGCATAGAACTAAGTAGTTAGGCAAAAGCAAATGCAAGTAGAGGAATAGGTCAGAGGTTGCAAGATGATAGTTTGTGGGCTGAGGTCAGAATGCTGCTATGTTTTGCTTGACTTTAATTATTTAAATTGAATTACAGTTTAAGTAGAATTTTCCAGTTTTCTAGCTTCTTTGAAAAGTTCGAGAATTCAATCTATTGGTCCTATAGACTGGCGTGGTAACAGTTGGCCAGAACCATGTAGCTGTCAGTGGCTTTAGATAGGGTGAGGGGCCCAGAGTCCTGTGTCTGCAGTTATCACCTGTCTTATTTCCTTACCAAGAAGCTAATGTGAGTTTCTGCTTATTAGCATACTGTGCTGCTTCATTCTTTACAATCACCTGCCTTTTGTAGGCAGCCCTGAGTACAGAGGGTTGGCAAGGTCAAGAACAATTCTTTGCTAGAGTCTTGTTATTACACTTTATTATTCTTATGTTAGGTATCTTAGTTGACTCCATGAAGGGAGGATGAATTGAGAGGTTACGGCTGACAGATACAATAGAGCACATACTTAGCCTGTGTGAATCTCAGGATTCACAGTCCACAGTACTTCTCAAAAGAGTTGAGAAAATTATAGTGAATTGATTAATTCTTCGAATGCTTATTCAATCTCCGTTGCCATGGAAGGCACTAAAATCTGGGGATAAATAGCCATCAGGGAGGCAGCTGAGAGCAATGAAAACACATACTTGATGTAACTTGTGAATGGATGGATGTTTCTCCTGGTATTGCACAAGTGTCCTGAGTAGTCTCAGGGCAACAGCACTCAATGCCTATTGGCTTTGTGAATAATTCTGGCAAAGAATACCATTCACATTTAACTCTGAGGCTGTGTTCTATTACTCAGTGGCTTCAAGAGTCAGGGAGGAGGAATTCAAGGAGACGCCAGAGATGTGGCTTCTGATGCCAGCAGCGCTATTTGTTTAGTCCTGGTGCCAAAGAAAAGGTTGAATTCTGACGCAGCACTGTAACAAAGGTTGAGGAGGTTAACTCCTGGACAGGAAATCCTTTAACCCCTAAGCTGAACTCTGTCCCTTTCAACCTGGAGACTGGGAGCCTGCCAGTATCTCACCAGTCTTGGATGCTCTCAGAGACAATCAGGTCTTTTTCTTGAAGAAATCCTTCCCTAGCTAGAGTGGCAGATGCAATTAACCTGTATTTCTAGGTTGTCTATCCTTAGTGGTTAGTGATTAAAAGATACAGGTAACTTTAGGAAGCAATTGACTTTAGACATGCACATGGATAAGAATTTGAGTCCATAGCTTTAATAGTGGCACTAGAAAGGTTCCTAAAGACCAGCTACCCTCCTTTAGCCTCATGGCCTTTCCTTTCTTTTCTTCCAGCAAGGTCTTTGCAGGAATTTGCTACTGTCCTCAGGAATCTTGAAGATGAACGGATACGGATGGTGAGTATGGCTGGGCTGCTCTTGGTACCAGGCAGTATGTGCACATGGAGGGAGAAGAGGTTTGTTTTCAGTAGACGTGAGTTTGAGTTCTGCCACTGGAGTGTTTTGAGCTTGGAGCAAACCTTGACTTTGCAGAGTGTGAAGCCTTTTGTATGTGTTAATAGATTGCTGGTGTATAACTTCAGAATAGTATCTCTGTCTTCCCAAAGGGGTTCTTACAAGGTATATACCTGTTAGCTCTATAAGGTATAGGACTTAAGCATCGACTTTTTTGAATGATTTAACTTTTGAGGACCTGAGATTCTTTACCAGAAAAATGAAAAAGAAGGTATCCTACTGTGATCCCTTTGTCTCATGCCTCACTAGACCTGTCCAAGAGCCTAAGAGGGCCAGGGACAGTTCACTTTTAATTCTGAAGCACCTGAGTAGAACCTGCTATGCATCTACCACTTCATGAATGAAGGTAACTCTTAAAATCTTCAAAGAGAAATGCTGTACAAATTCAAGAATTAGATGTGTAAGAGATATCTTCTGAACTAGCATTTATTCTCATGTGGTTTAGTGTTAGTGGCTAAGAGATCTCCCATTCATAGAAAGTTCCTTGGCATCTTCTCCCACATCCTTCAGATATCAGGAATGTCCCTAGGAGGACTTGTTTCCAGGCAGCAGAGCTCCAGAGACATAGGAAGGATGCCAACATTTGAGCAGTTTTTCTCTTTTTCCCATAGCAGTAACTGACAGTGTGAGTCCTGTGTACCAAGACATTCTGTTTAGCTGTTGTGATGCCTCTGTGAGAGAGAGTTTATTCCATTTTTTTTCAGAGAAAGAGATTATAGGCTTAGCAGGGTTAAGTAACTTGTCCAGGATCACACCTTTAATAAGTGGTATAGTCTGGATTCAAACCTAAGTCAGCATTGTGCCAAAAGATATCGGTAATTTTTTAAAACTCTAAACAAAGAAGAAGCCTGCTGCTTTCCCAGAAGTACCCTGCAGAGGAAGACCCTGTTTCTCTTGATTGCTCGTTGTTGATACTTGGGCCAGAATCAAGAGAATAGTGGTAGTGGCATTGACCCTTTGTGGCAGGTGTTTGTGCATGTGCTATTACCTAAGAAAGGGCAGTGCTTTTTCTTAGTCTGATTTCTTGGCTGAGTCAGTATTTGGGGTTGAGTGGTGCGTGGTGAGCAAATCACCATGCATCCCTGGCAGATTGCTATGGCTTGCAGTAAGGGAACAATGGCTGGATTATGCTTTTCAGCTTGCCTCTGCAATTTTATTATTAATGTCGGTGAATCGCGTTTCTGCGCCTGCATCTGAGTATCTGGCCATCACAGCCCCTTTTCACCCCTTCGTGTCCTGTGATAGTTCATCATCTGTTCAGCTCAGCTTGGCAACTGCACCTTCTTTCGGAGGTCTTCTCTGACTTCCTGGGATGTTTGAGCATCCTTTGTGTTTTGTAAGCATCTAGTCTTGTCTCTGATTCTGCACTTTTCACATTGTGTCCTAATAGTCACTGTGTGTGTCTGTGCCCATAGTAAATGTAAATTCCTCAAGAGCTGAGAGTGGGCTTCTATGCTCGCAACTTCAAGCACAGTTCTTAAAACTGAGTGGAATAAACACTCATAGAATCTTAGACCCCAACGAACCTTGTTCCTCACCATCTGTGATCACACATTTCACAGATGGGAAAGTAGTTTTATCAAGGCTTATAGCAGGTTGTAGTAGGATTGTGGTAAAGACCTGGGCATTTTGCTTTCCATGAAATGCCTTCATGTACTGAACTAGTTAGGATTGGATTCTCAGTTATGGATGGAGTATGTCTTGGGATGCTCTAAAAATGCTCACATCTGGCACATCATTTACCATTGGGGTGTTGGTGTGTGCTCTGGACACTGGGATTGTAAAAACTCCCCAGTGATTCTAATGTACAACTAACATTGGGAATCACTGGCCTACATGCTTAGCACAGCTTTGTGAGCTTCAGAGACTTTCAGTGGGTTTCAGGAAAAGACTTTAGTGAAACAATTAAGCAACACCAAATGATAAAAAATTAAAACAAGGGGTAAGGGGTTTAGCTCAGCAGTGTAAGTGCCTGCCTGGCAAGTGTGAGGTCATGAGTTTGATCCCCGGTACAAAAAAAAAAAAGATTAGTATTATAAAACCACAGTGTAAAAATACACTTTTCTGGAGTAAAATTTAATTATAAATAATTTTAACATTGAGAGAAGGGCAAATAGGAATCAATTTGAAAACCTGTCTTTTTCTGTCCCTTACATTGTCCAGTCCTTTTACTGTGTCCTTCTAAGGCTTCTGGCATTGACTTGGTTGTTTTCATTGCAAATGACATGCATATAATTTAGAAAAAATAATGCCTTGTTGCAGTGAGATTCCTGAAATACTTCAACAAAAAATGAGGAATGAGTGACTTAAAAGGAAAGATTGTAAAATATTGTACTGCCTAGGGAATTCCATAGAATCTTAGAGCTGGGAACATTTGAGCCCATGCATTTTACAGAAATTAGAGTCCAGAGAGGTTAAATGTTTTGCCTCTGGTCACACAGTTGGCAGCCAGTCCACAAATCAGTTTATTTATTTATTTATTTATTCATTCATTCATTGATTCAAAAGTGTTTGAATGTTCCTTTGTTTCACTGTTTTTGTGCTTTGTGGATAATGGTAGACAAGTCTTTACATGATTGCGTGTGTGTGTGTGTGTGTGTGTGTGTAAATGTGTATAGTAATGAACCAGAAAACTTTATCTGATATATGTGTTCTGAGGAAGACAGTCGGCAGCTTCTTGGGATTATATTGGTAGTCCAGGAAGACCTCCCTAAAGAGGTGAACTGAACGCTAAATCCTTAATTATGATAAGGAGTCATTCAGGCAGAGGTTTGGAGACAGAGCATCTGAAGGAATAGGCAGAGGCAAAGACTTGAGGGGACAAGTTTGAGGTGCATTAAGGTGACAGTAGATTGGAGTGTAGGACCTGGCATTGAGAAGTAGCCAGTGGTCAGGAGGCACAGATGTTCTGTCCTCGTCCTGGGGAAGAACACAACAGGCTTGAAGACCTTTTGTGCTAGCAGATTTCAAAGGTGTTTAATTTTTATTTTCAACCTGGACTCACTGTTGATTTACATTACTTATAACTTCAAAGAATGATCATTTTAAGATGTTGCCAGGTGTTTGAAATTTAGACCCTACTCTGAAACTAGTTCCCCTCTACCTTCATGTGGTTACTAACATTTTCAGGTAGTCTTATTTTTCCTCTTAAAGAGTTGACATTGATCATGCACAGGAGATAAATCATGTTTTGAATCAGTTGCTAGAGTTTGTTTTGATAAACGTTAGAATGGTAAACAGCAATATATAGACAAATTTTGTTCGAGCCTTGGTGGGGGGTTGTGTGTGATGGAGCTGCTATACTCATCCTGCTTTTGTCCTGTATCCTTGGTCCCTTTCTGATTTTCTTTACCAGATTGAGAATGCCAGCGAGGTACTCATCACTCCTTTGGAGAAGTTTCGAAAGGAGCAGATTGGGGCTGCCAAGGTGAGAATTGTGTAAACCTTGTTGTTGAATTTTTAGGTGGTGGTCTGGAAAGTGCTTCTAAGAACACCACCAGAAAACAAGCCCTCATTCTTCAGAAGCCTCTGTCTGATTTTGCATGGGTCTGAAGTACAACTGTAGTGGTCAGCCCCCACTGGCAGTCCACTGTTTTGTTCTCTGCTAGTTCATAAACCATCCGAAGGTGGAGATGACATCTTCTTTGTGTTATTAGATGGCTGGTATGCATGGACAATGTGTTTTGTTTTGTTTTTAGTGGTACTGTCTTTTGGGGAAGTCACACAGCCTGAGCAGACCAAGTTGCCTATCAGGTCCCCTCTTGACAGATCTTTAAATGTTTCAAGAGAAATTGAAAAGCCAGATATTTATGGGAAATGTCTTATAGGCAAATAATTTAAGAAAATATATTTTATTCACTGTATAAGTCAAAAATCATGTCTATAGGCCTGTTTCCTCTCAGAGGTCACCGTGTATTATCACCAGCCTAAAGGGACTGTCGCTCAAAATTGGCTAATTCTAATGTTACTAAAAGACTATAATGAGAAGCCAGTTTGTTTGGAGAGGGTAGATCCTTCCAGGGTCATCTCCCCTGTGTTGAGATGCTAGGTAACCTTAGTGGGTCTGACCTTCAGTAGAAGTAGAGTGTTAGAGGCCACCTGCAGAGAAGATATTTTCATTGGAATCAATGGATAAGACTTCCCACATTTTCCTGCTCTTCTGGAATTGTCAGTTCACCCTCAGTCCCTTACGCCACCTACAGGGAGTTTTGCAGCATGGGATATTTACTCAGTTTGAGGAAATGTCCCTGAGAAGGGATTGTAGGTGGGAAAACAATAGAGGAAGTGTACCAGAGTGAGTGCATGCTAGTTCTCACGAGTTCTTACTCACGCATGCTCCCTTCCCTTCCTCTTCCCCCGGCCTGCCTTCCAGAAAGAATAGGATCACTGAAGAAGACGGTTAGCCATGATCTTTCAGAGGGACGAGTAGCTACAGTTCGAAGGAGAGACCGTGGCAAAGATTTTTCCCCCCAGTTTTACACATGTTCACACTAATTTCAGTTTACATTTACGAAGAAATTTGTGTTCACTGGTTTTATACTAGAGATTAAGGAGCATATAATTTCAGGGAAGGCTTATTCTTCTCAGATTTTGTGCAGGACTGTGGATTGCCCTCTGGAAGGCTGAGAACACACTGGGGAGGGTTTTCTGGGTCAGGGACCCGGAGAGGCACTGCTGGGGCAGTCTCAGGGCCTGTGCTTTCTCCATTCTGAGCTCACACTGCCCTTGCTTCCTGGAGGTGCCAGGAGGCTCTGGGATGGAGTGATCTGAGGCAGAGGCAAGCAGCCCTGCTTATTGAGTCATCCTTCTAGTAGTTACCTCTCTTCGTGGCCAATGCCTCTCACCCTCACTTCTTCCCTTGCACTGTTTTGGGAGTCATGATAGTCACCACCGAGAAGCCAAAGTCTGAGTGGGCTCCCTTTGGGTTTGATACAGAACCAGAGGGGGTTTTAAGTGGTGGGATGTGTAAAAATAAAATAACTTACCTGAAATAGTCACCCAGTGAAACATGTTTTTTGTCTTGCCTACTTTATTCTCTAATTCAGCTAACAATCATCAGTCACTTAAGTTTTTGATAATAGTCATCAATTATTAAAGCGATTGTGATGGCATTTAGGATCATTTCTCATTCCTCCTCCTTTGTCATATATTTTTTATCCCCCACCACAATATACGCTCCTCCTCACCACCCACACAACTTTATATTTGTGTCATACCATTATGTAAGTTTAAGCAAAAACAAACTAAAAACTCCTAGAAGGCACTCTGGGGAGCAGACTCAAGAATATTTTAGGAGCTGTAAAGCACTTTTTAGCAGATTTTGGTGGTGGCCTGATGGAGGTTCCTGAACTCTGCTTGCGTGATGGTAACATTACTTTTCTTTCCTCTTCTCTTTGGTGCTGCTTCAATTGCTATAATAACTTTTCGCAGAGCATGCAGAGTGAAGGCTTCCAGGGAGGGGTTTCTTGGGCATTCTTGGGGGGATATGGCTGCTCAGGAATAGGTCAGGATCCTGGAGCTTGCTAGAACCGAGAGCTGAGGTTTTTATTTCTGAGTTTGGGGAGCTAGATTTGAAAAAAAAAATGTACCAGAGGTAGTTTGGGAGTGCTGGATTCCATAATGAAAGTAACAAAGACGTTAGATAGTGGTGGTTCAGCATAGGCTAGGATGAGGCTGCTATGGTCCAACTCTCACTTCTGCCATTTGCATATAATCTTGTGGAGGTTCCTGAACTTTCCTGAGTCTGTTTCCTGATGTGTAAAATGGCGATAATAGTAGAACTTACCTCACAGAATTATTATGAGGAAAAAATGAGTGAACTCATACAAAGTACTTAAAACAAGTATCTGTCATGTAGCTACTTGGACATGAGGATAGTGGCTATCATTTTGTCATTTGATATTGGTAATTACATTAGATTTCATTAAAATATGTGAGTCCAGAGCTGGCTGTGTGTCCAGAGCTGGCTTTGTACTGATGATCATGGCAAACAAAGCAAGTGTGTTGCTGTGCTTGTAATGTGGTTAGAGAGAAAGGAGTTGGACAGAAAGATATAAACAAATGTGTAATTTCAAGTTGCAGTAGGTGCTTGGAAGGTCTGCCTCCATGGAACACAGTGTGTGCGAGGCAGATGGTGTTCCTGACAAGAAAGGGCTGGATGCAGGGAGTGAGCTTGCCTTCACCACTCGTCACCATTACTGAAAGTTACTGACTTCTTTCCATGCAGCAGGTGTGAGCACTATACATGGCTTATCTCATTTCATCCCAACCATCCTAAGAAGAAAGGGTTGGTTCTCATCCGTATTATGTGGTCTTTCAGCTGAAGGATGAAAGCTGATCAGTTGTCTGATCTGGTCTTCCTCAGCTTATAGATAAAGACATGGAGTCCTGAGGAGGGGTATTGTTTTGTGTAGAGCCAGTCTTTACAGTATTGGGATAAATCTAGAGACCTGACTCTATCCTTTCTCTGCGTAGTCACCCCACAGCAGCCTCTGTGAGCACTGGGAGTCGTCTTGTGTCCTGAGTAGCTGAGGAGTGCCTCCCTCGCATCTCAGGAATATCACTTGCAGAGGTCTCGGTACCATTTTCTCAGTATGGAAACCACTTCCTGTTCTCTGTTTTCTTTCCATTCTCTTCACTGTCTCTCTTGCTCTGGGAATCCTCTTGAACATGGGATATGGAGGTTTGGGTTGCCACAAAGTCACCGCGTGCCAGTGACTCATGTTCTGTGGGCTTTTCTCACCTCGGGGCAGCTGGGCTCTGCTGGCCCTAGAGTTCTTGGCTTGGGGCTGCTGACAAGGCTGGTAGGTGTAGATCTATGAAACATTAAGAGAAGGTGGAGCCCAGCTCAATGTTTCTGGTTTCTATAAAGGAAGAAAGAGTTGCTTGCCTGTGTTCTTAAATTTGAAAAGAGTCATGTTTCCTTAGGCTTCCTTGTTTCTGTACGTTTTATTGCTAGTGTGTGCAATAGTGGTTTAAGCCACGTGATTGTTTGATTATTTTCCCGCTCTGTGAAGCTTGGAGTCTTGCTGTGTCCTGGTGAGGGTGGGAGCTTGGAGGGCTTCAGATCCTGGCTTGTTGGCTCAGGGCTCTTCCCCAGGGCATGTGCACCTGTTGTCTTGCTCTAGAAAGCTCCGCCCCAACTCTGCATGTGTTTAGCAGGTTTTAGCTCACACATTCCCTCCACAGTGAGGCCTTTCCTGTGTACTCTTATCTGAAAAATCTCTATGCCTACTCAGTTTCCTTTGTAACACTTGCAGCAGTCTGAAACTGTGCTGCTTACTTGTTTACTGGTTAATTGTGTTTCTCTCTACGGGAACATTACCATCTTGTGGGTAGGGACAGCTTTTTCTCCCATTTCCAGTGCCTGTATGAGGCTGAATAGAGTGGATACTCATTGTAAATTTGGTAGATGAATAAGGAGATGTCTTTGGGCTTCCTTAACTTGCTTGAAATTTTTTTTTTGCTCTCATAGGCCTTAGAGTTGCACATAAATACCTTCTGTGAGCTCCATATGACTCAAAAGCAAGAGTTAGTGAATTTGAACCTGCTTATTGGCCTGGTCCCAGCTTTCTCCCACCCACCTTGCTTATAGTTCCCACTGGAATGTGGAAGGATAAGAGACTGCCTGCGGCCAGCCTCAGATGTGGTGGAGAACGTGGGCTTGGGAGGCAGATTGCCCTGAATCCAAACCTCAGCTGTGTCACTTTCTGTGACATTTTATAAGTTAACTTCCTTGGCTTGAAATTTTCTTATCTGTAAAATGGGGAATAAAAATAGAACCTCAGTGACACAAGGACTTGATAGTGGGATTAATATGTGTGTTATTATAGTTTTTTATCTTGAAGGCAATAATTTAGGCTAGTAAAAATTTCCCAAAGAGAGGAAAAAATTTTTGTTGTTCTGTTTCCTTAACTGAAATATTTCCATTTAAGTTTACACTTATCAATACCCCATGTAGACTGTTCCAAGTTTATATCATATTATTGTAGTTTTCATTATATCATGATGCAGCAAACAGTTGTTATCTTACTAATTAGATATATTGAATGTATAATGCTTTAATAATGACAAACTCTATTTTTGGGCAGTGAGGTTGCTTCTCCTTGTTTTGCTTTGCTGTTATGATTGGTGGTGTTATGAACACATTTGTGAAGATCTCATCTTACTGTATTTTGACTTGTTCTGCAGCATGGAACATCGAGTGTAGTTGGGTCTCCATACTGAGGGATACTGTTTGAATGCTGTTAACCCTGGCTCTAACCTTAGGTTAAAGTTGTCCTATTGAGGCTGGAGATACCATTAACTTCCTATGTAATCTCCATAACCTTATTGTCTCTAGTCTGAAATCGGGTGGATTAGAAACTACAAATTTTGCTTTCGCAATTAAGTTTTTTTTCCTTTATGCCGTTATGATGCTGGTGATCAAATCTGCATCCCATTCTAGCAGGGACTGTACTGCTGAGCCACACCCACAGTCCCCATAATTGAAGTTCTTAGAAGGTAGAGTTCTGGTTTTGGCAGTATTAAATACTGGCATTGCCTTTTTCTGGGATAGTGCCGATGGTGCCTCTGTGCCAGACGGATGCTCCGATCTGCAGGAGAGTTGCATGGCTTAATAGGCGTAAACTGCAGAGCAGGAGCCAGGCTGTCTGCTGCTTTTCTGTGCAGAGGGAACAGTGAGCCTGTAAAGGGGAGGAAGGGCCTGGAGAGACTGAAGTGCTTTATTCTTGCAGCTTGCGACTCTTCATTTTCTGTCTCTCCTTCTCACTCTCTATCTCTCTTTGCCAGGAAGCCAAAAAGAAGTATGACAAAGAGACAGAAAAGTATTGTGGCATCTTAGAAAAACACTTGAATTTGTCTTCTAAAAAGAAGGAAACTCAACTTCAGGAGGTAAGCAACTTGACATATATCCTTAACAAAATAGGTAATTTTTATGCAGTGCTCTGCTTACTCTTTGCCAGACAATCTTAGATCTTTGCCAGAGACCTCAGAAACTGGGAGCTTGATCCTGCCGCCTCCTCCACTTGGCCTGTATTGGCTTTGTCACCTCCCACCCCACCCACCTTTGTGGCTCTGGATCACGCTGCTGGCCAAGAAGACTGCCTTCTGGTGGGCAGCCCTCCTTGCTGGACCGGGCTCTTCTCCTCAAGCCAGATCTGTCTTCCTGTCTCGTTCACCCTTGGCCTTAATACGGCGCTCTGTTTCCTTAGCTCTTGATTTCCTGTCCTGTGTAGTGATTTACATTGTTAGCGTCTGAAGCATTTTTAAATGTTATTTCAATCCAGTGTCTGACATTAGTTTTTTCCTGTCTTTTCTTTTTTGTTCTAATAGTGTCTTACTGTCATTTATATGTATGCATGTTTATAGAGATAGATAAATGGGGATTTTTTGGTTTCGTTTTCATTTTTTGAGTTTTGGTAACCTTGTTTAAAGAAAATATTCATGAACCCGTTCTGTTTTCTCTGGATATGCATGGGATCTTTTAAAATAGTATTTCACTTGGGAAGAGAAGTCAGCTTTGCAACTATTGAGTTTTTATTGTTTTACTTAGTTTGTGGAGAGCTGCATGGTGAGGAAGTTTGGTTTCTGGGAGACAGTGCAGTTTCTTAGTGGAACCCTAACTTTGGTCTCATGAATGTCATTTGTTTAAACTCTCAGCAATTTGCCCAACTTTTCTCATGATAAGTGTCTGAAGAGAAGCATAGGCTTTCAAGCTACCCCTCATTCTTGAGTTTCATTTCTTTTTGATGCCATTTAATGCCAGTACTTAGAGCAAGTAAAAAGATGGAAGATGAAGGTAACTCAGGAGATGTGGAGTTCACTTCCTTCCCAACTATGATGTTATGTACATCTTCAGATAAAGACATGGTGTTCTCCGAAATTTTTCTTTGAAATGAGTATTTGAACTGATTCTTTGGTTCCAGGAATGGAGCTCAGTGGTATAATGCTTGCATACCCTAAGCAAGGTCCTGGTTTCCATCCCCTGCACCACACAACAAAACAAGAAGTACCAAAAACCAAATCTCTGAATAGTGATAAAGACTGCAACTCTACACAGGGACATAGTAAGCACTAGATGTTGCCTGAAGACAGGTAGATTGCTCCTGATAATTCTATAATTCTATTTAGGATCTGTCCCAATACCCTCATTTGCTAGTTCTGATTCTTGTAACATTACATGGCACATATCATCCTCAGCACAGTGAGGACCAGAGTTCCTCTGATGGTAAGAACAGAAGAATTTATATCAGGAAAACCAGCATGACAACCTTTTCCAGGAGAATCAAAAGCACACCATCGTCCCCTCTAGAGTTTAGGAACTCAAATTTCAGGAAAATTTCTTTGGCTATGCCTGACAGTGATCAACTGTCTAGCTCTGCAGCTTCTTCTTGATTATATGCCATTGTTAGGGTGACCATTGTTGGAGTCAGGATGTATTTGAGAATAAATGTAATACAGGACACATAATTTATAGGATCATTTTGTAATATTCATCCAAAAAGTCAAGTGCAGAAGAGTGCAAGAGATCTGTCGACATACTGGGCACCCAAAGAATCCAGCTGAGGGCCTGGATGCTGCAACAGTTTCCTTCATGAGTTCAGTTGAAGACCCAGAGCCTGCACGAGTCCAGCTAGGAAGCCCAGAGTCCACATCAATGTCTCATGCAAGTCTGTATAAAGGATTGCTCTGGGAAGGCCCAAAGGTCATTGGTGGAGTCCAGCTAGGAAGCCCAGAGTCCACAACAATGTCTCATGCAAGTCTGTATAAAGGATTGCTCTGGGAAGGCCCAAAGGTCATTGGTGGAAGCTAGAAAGTCTGTGCCAGCAGGATGAAGAATCTGTGCCAGCAGGCCGAGGGATCTGCACTCCCTGGAGCCAGGAAGTGACTCAAGATAAGGACCAGAGCTGCCCCAAAGAGAACCACAGCCATCCTCAGCACAGCGAGGACCAGAGTTCCTTTGATGGTGAGAACAGAAGAATTTATATCAGGAAAACCAGTGTGACAACCTTTTTCAGGAGAATCAAAAGCACACCATTGTCCCCTCCACTTCTTTTATGCCATTGGCAACAATCCTTCCACACCCAACACTGTGCTGATTCAGTTCATCTAGTTGCGTATTCGTTAATCCACCACAAGCACTCACCATCACTGCAGTTGTCCAGAGTGGAGCAGGTGGGTGGCAGTTGTAGCACCTGTTCATACTGGGAGCCACCAGTTATCCCGTGGGGTGTGGTGGTCCCCATGGTGAAAGTCTATTCTTTCCATGCCTGGATATTATGGACTTTGGGAAGAATCCAGTATTTTCTTTAAGGATTAGTCCAATGCCATTTTCCTCTGAGTTATCACAGTGTGAGAACCGAACCCTGGGCTACCAAAGAGGATACCTTCTTTGAAGATCTACCCTGTCTTGTGTTTGCTGTGTAAGGAGCAAGTTCCTTTGGCCCTCAGAGTTTTCATCCTTTATTTGTAAAACACTCATAAATCCAATCTGACTAATTCATGACTAAGAAGGCAAACCGTAGCTACTGAACAAATACAGATATTATCCCCATGACTGGCCTGCTTCTTTTTGTCCCCTCTACCCATGTTGGGTGGCACTATTACAGACTTAGCCAGTGTGTACCTCAGTGAATGTTTCTTTTACTATCCTCTTTTGTTACAGTCCTCTGTGTTCCTGTCTTTTACCCACTCATGCTTTCTAAGTACATGGTTGTAAGGATTGGACTATAGTCTTTTCTGAAAGTTCTGGTTTGTTCAGGTTCAGTTCTCAAGCATTGCCATTTAGGTATTTGTGCTAAATTATGGGCAAGAAATGTCTAGTAAGAGCAACAGCATGTGAGTACTACTAATATCAACATTAGTATCAAACACTTACTGAACATACATTTATGCCTGATGTAATGTGTTAAGCACTTTCCAGCAAATCTTCTTGGCTCTTGACGCTATCCTTCACATTTGAGGAGGCAGAGGGTCAGAGCTGGTAAATAGCTTGTCCATAGCTAGCTAGTCGTGGCATCTAGCTGTGGAGCTCTTCTCCTCTCTGGATTTTTCTTCTTTCAGGAAGGGTCTAGAGGCTCTGATCCCTTCAAGTCATGCAGATGCAAACAGGGAGAAGGAGGGACCTTGGTGATCATCTAGTGGAACTTCCTTGAATGTGTTCAAAGGATCCGAGTTCTTAGCAGAGATGAAGTGGTTTGCTTATTAAGACGTTCTAGCTACTTAGTAATGATTTCCTTCACATTTATTTTAAAAATCAACTTTTAGGACCATTACTAAACACCTGGAACATCTTGGATTAAAATCTACTACCTTTAATTATCTAGGATTATTCCCTGATTGCAGAACTCTGTGTTGAATGCTTTTCAAATTGAGTCCATCACCCACTCTGTGGAGGGAGAGGTTACAGGGCAGCAGTGTGGGATGACACTGCCATCTAGTGGATTAAAGCAAATCTACAGGGGAAAAGGATGAGGAAAGAATTATGTTGTGTACATGCCACAGTGAATGTAATCATTGTGTACTGCAAACATGTACTCATAAAGAAACAGTATTGCTTCATTCTACCAGTATGCATCCGATGGGTCTGTGAAAGTCTGGCCAGGCTCTGAGTATTTTATAGGGAGTGAAATGAGAGATCTGCTGTCATGGAACTTAACAATTTTGGAGGAACACAAAAAGATTGATAGATCTGTTCAAGCTGGGAGATTTATAGTTTAAGTAACAGAGAACCTGTTGTGAGTTGGTGTATTGGTTTTCTGTCACTATAACTAAACACTTGAGGCTGAGTATTTTATAAAGAAAAGAGCTTTACTTACAGTTTTGGAGGCTGAAGTTTCAAACAGTATAGCACCAGCTCTAGTGATCCCCTCCGCCCCCTGTATCACATTATGGCAGGTGGCATCATAATGGCAAGAGCCACAGGTAAGACAGGAAATTGGAACAAGCAAGGAGGATCCAGTCTTGTTTTTATTAAACAAGTTTTCAAGAGAATTAACTAAGACCTCAAGAAAATGCCTCCCTTCCAAAGGCAGTGTCCCCAGTGACCTGCCGTTAGGTTCCATACCACCTCCTAATGCTTTCACACTGAGAGTCAAGCCCCCAGCGTGTCAATTTTCAGGACACCCTCAAACCATATCCATTTCATAGCAAGTAGTCTGGCAGTCAGGTTAGAGTCCTGCCTTTTGATTCTAGTTTAGCGTCTCTAAGATGCGGTAAATTCTGTGGCCCATAGTAAGCAGGGATGCTGGCAAGAGAATCCTACTGCAGTTGGGCTTTCTGTTTAGCTTTCCCTAGAGAACACATTGAGTTATGTGTTTCTGCTTAGTGCTGGGTCACTGCAGGGACATGCCTTCGATGCTGACGGACAGCCACATGGAGAGCAATCCTTTTAGCTGCTCAACATTTCCTACCATCCAAGTACTTTTCTGGGCACCAGGATCAAAACGGTATCTGTTCTCATAGATGATATTCTAGTGGGCAGCACAAGAGAAAAGAAAGGAATAAATAAGAATTTTACACAGTGATAAGGAAATAAATTGGGAGATAAGATGGTTAATGAGTGCTTCTCTGAAAAGCTCAGATCTGAGCCTAGGAGGATAAGACGTGAGCTGCATTAAAGGTTAGGCCAGTCTTTCAAGCTGTGGGTGTTTAATAAAAGTCAGAATTACAGAGCCAGATGACAGAATAGAGTAGGCTAGATGAAAATATGCAAGTTCATTATACTAATTAAAAATGTATATGTATTGGGACCCTGTGAAAAGTACTTCTAATTATGCACTAAAGTAAAAAAAAAAGTACTTTTCTTTAGGGAAATGAGGTTTTCAGAAAGAAGGAATGCTAAGTGCAGAGGTTTTAGGACAGAAAGAGCTTTGGAGCATCAGAGAGTAGCAAGAGAGCAGAATGCCAAGCACAGTGAGGGCCATTTGGGCCAGGAGGAGGGGCACTGGACTGGGCAGATAGCACAGGGCTTTGCATTCTACAGTGGAGGCCAGCAGAAGGCCTTGAGTGGACTAGAGGCCATCTCATTTAGATTCTGAGAGGGCATTCTGGCTGTCGGCAGACTGGGACAGGTGAGGAGACTGTTGGAGAGAAGTGTGGTGGCCCAGGACTGTGTAGGACTGCAGCCCATTGATGCTGAAGTGCCTCGTGACAGTCAACAGCCAAAACCCGTAGGACACTTTCGGTTTCCAATTATTCATGCCCTTTGACACGTTTTCTCTGTAAACTAGCTCCACTCCAAGCAAGGGCAGATGTTATCATCTCCATCCTTGTGATGGGATCAGTGGCTGGAGTAGGTCACAGGAACTGGAAGATTGTAGAACTGGAACCCGCACCTAGGTCAGCTCTCTGACTATGCTAGAGTTGGTTCCTTGCTCCTCACTGGAATGTCCTTGTGGCTCTTTCATCTTGCTTATGCTGTAGAAGACTCTGCAGATTTTCCAAGTGATCCCCTTCCTTCACCCAGCAGTTTCAGTCAGCAAGCCCACAGAGAATGTGTGAGGTGTGTGTGGGCTGGTCAGAGCAAGAAGATGTGTTCATTGGTGTAGGTGTGTTGGAGTTGCTCCCCAAGGACATTAAAAACTGCTGGAATATGTGAGGCACGGCTGGCAGGAGCCCGGCTGGAAGATGTGTGAACCCAGTTGTCTAGGAGGCCATATGTGGCAAAGTTGGGTATGCAGGCCTTCTGAAAGCTTGCCCCCAGACTGAGCTCCCCTCTAGAAAATGCCCTCAGCCTGGCTCTTCTTTGTGTCCAGCAGTTACTCGGCAGACCATCCTTCTGGTGTGAATGTGTCATTTGCCTGGGAGGAAGTTTTAGCATGAGAGACTTGAATGCACACTTTGGGGCTTTTTTAATAGTATCTTGTACTTTACCAGAGCTTATTAGCTTTCTTTTTATTTACATAATTATTTCACTGAGTTTGCACTCTGTTTTTTTTTCATTGTGCTGTCCACCTCACGAAGGAAGTTTCTTTTTGCTTGTGATAGTTGAAGGAATGAATGATTTACAAAGATCTCACAGTGTCATGGTAGCGTAACATATTTAGGATAATGGAAGGACCTACTCCAAGTTTCTTCTGCAGGAATCTTGACAAAGGAACAATAAAAGAAATATTCTTTGGGGAGCTTTTTTGTTTCATTGGACTGTATTATACAACTGGTTGTGACTAATTTCTAAGGAAAACAGTGTTTTGCTTTCTGCTAGCAGTGTAATTTATTGTTATTATTTAAAAAATAATACGATAGTGCTTTGTTGTTGAAATATGTTTTGAAAGAATGCGTGGCTACAGCCACGTTGTGGACAGACAGAGAACTTTGAGGCTGGGCATCTCTTTAGCAGAGCATCGTCATGGAGTCATTCTCATTTACTCCTGGGTGGTAGATTGCAGGTCTGTGGCTTAACTGTACCCACTGTAGGCCTATTGTGACTCCACCTGCATAAAAGAAAAAGTGGGACTCTTGGGAAGCAATATAATTACCTTCTTCGGATAAATTCGTAATTTATCCTTGTCATTAGCGAAGTACTTGGCACTTGTGTGAAAATGTCCCAATTTTGGGGTTTTCTGCCCACCAACAGCTCATTTTGCTCATGAGGAAGGATGGGATGAAGATGGCTCAGCATGCTTTCTTTTTTTATTTGTTTGAGACAGAGTCTCCCTAAGTTATCAGACTGGCCTTGAAATCTTGATCTTCCTGCCTCAGCCTCCCAAGTGGCTGAGATTTACAGGCATGTGCCACTATTTCTGACTTGCTTGCTTTTCACTGTACAGATCTATCTCCCATGGAGCTGAGTTGTAAGGAGGCAGTGCAGCTCTTAAGAATGGTTAAGGATCTTGGAGACAAAGCCACTTGGGCAGAAATCCCAGCTCTGTTCTCTAACAGTTGCATGACCTTAGTCAGGTTTCTTAATGCTTGTGTACTTCATTTTCCTTCTGCAGATTACAGATAAAGATATCATTTCCTTTACAGGAATATAATGCAGATTATATAATTAAAATTAATGAGGATTAAATAAAGTATTATGTATTTATTTATATAGCTATGGACATGGTGCCTGGTATAAAGTTAGTACTGTATAATTATCATAACTATTCTTATTTATGTATCATGCTGTTTGATTTGCTTTTAAAAATTGTCTCCAGGAATTTCTTTCTGCTTGCCCAGTGTTCTTGTCGGATAGTGACTAGATTTTCCTCTTTGATCCTATTTTCTTTGTAGGCAGACAGCCAGGTAGACATAGTCCGGCAGCACTTCTACGAAGTATCCCTGGAGTATGTCTTCAAGGTGCAAGAAGTACAGGAGAGGAAGATGTTTGAGTTCGTGGAGCCTGTAAGTAAATGTGCAGGGTTTAATGACGTGCTTTTATCTCATCTTTCATTTTAGTCACCTGGCATGTTACAAATTGCTCCACCTTGTTGATGAAGAGATTAACCAGCCTTAATGTTATGTGTTCTGGCTCTTCTGGACTCTTCCTGTTAGCTCTTGCCATACAAGCTCATCGATGGAGGTGGAGTGCTTTCCTTTGGCTACCTGGAGTTGTGTTATTTGGTCTCCAGGTGGAAGAAGTGTAACGCGAGTTCAAAGGTGTCTTCTGTTTTGTTATCCCCTAGGGATTACAGCTTGACTTACCTCCTTTCACGTCCTCCCTGTGTAATCCAACTGTGGTAGTACCCCAAGGAAATAGCAGAGCATTCATAGTACCCTTTGTCTTTCACCCCTGGGTTTAGAGCCCCTCCATGGTCAATTCAGGTAGTAGTACACGCTATATAAAGCAGTTTCTCATGGTGGCTTTGTTTTAACAAGAGAAGCACCTGAATTCTGTTGAGTGGATACTGATGGAATTTGGACTGAGGCTCAGTATTCTGGTGGGCATGAAAGATTACATTGTGGAAAAAGTCTGACTGTAGTTTAGCTTACTGCTAAATTAGAGTTGTTGTTTCATTTAAACATGATGCTGCTCCATACTGCTGTCGTGCTGGTGTACATAGACAAGGGGAGGACTTCATGAAATATAAAATAGGTAAAACTGTTGAAGACACAGGAACAGGTAAATACTTTCTAAATAAAACTCTTAATTGCAATGAAGAAATAACATTGAGAGTCAGCGAATGGGATTATATCAAATTTAAATGCTTCTGCACAGCAAAGAAACAGCCAATGGTGTGAAGAGACAACTTACAATATAGGAAAAAAATTTTGGCAGCTACTAGAAGACTAATATCTAGAATATATAAATAACTCAGGAAAACCAGAAAAAGCCTATCAAAAATGGGCAGCTGAAATGAATACTTCTCAGAAGTACGAATGGCTAAGAAATACATCAAAAAATGTTCAATATCTCTGCCATCAGAGAAATGCAAATTCAAACACTGAGATTCCATTTGGCTCCAGAAAGAATGGCTATCATTAAGAATCAAACAATAATAAATGTCGGTGAGGCTGAAGGGAAAAAGGAACCTTTCTACACTGTTGGTGGGAATGTAAACTAGTAAGGCCACTGTGGAAATTATATAGACATGCTTCAAAAAGTGAGAATTAGAAATTTTATTTGACTTAGCTATTTCTTTTCTAGGTATCTTCCTGGAAGAGTTAAAAATATCATACTGCAATGATATGAGCATACGCATGTTTATAGCAGCATAGTTCATAACAGCCAAATCTTGGAAGTGGTTGGTGTACCTGTCAGCAGATGAATGTATAAAGAAAGTGTGCTCTTTATATACAATGTACAGCTGCCATACAGAAGAAAATACTAGTCATTTGATAGAAAAGGAATACATCTTGCGATAATAATTTTAAGTGAAATAAATCAGACAGTTAAATGAGAAGCCCACAGTATAAGTAATTTAAGAGATAAAGGATAGACAGTAGATCCTTGGTAAATGGAAAGAAGATCTTGAGATAGAGCAAAAAGAATTAAGATACTTATATTCATGTCCTTACTCTTCACAGTGAATGCAGTCAATATGTCCTACAAACATACACTGCTGAAAACCTGAAGTAGACTTCATGGAAATACCCCCATAAAAATGGGCCTCAGTGTAGAATTGTTGCAGACCTTTGATTTTTTAAGCCCGTATGGCCTCCTAATTTAGACTCAAACCTGGCATATTTGTGCAAATAAGTTTCTTATTTACGTAGATTTAAGAGGGGTTATTTTTCTTAAGAAAAAAAGAAAAAGAAAAAGAAAAAGAAAAGACATCAGGACTCCAATGAGCTTTGAAATCTTTGTATCATGTACTGAGCTGGAACTGTGGCTTGGGATTCTATTCCAGGCTACCTCATTTGGCAACTCCTTAAGTTCCTTAGTTAACTTCCATTTTAAAATCTGAACATTGGAAATCCTAAAGCCAATTTTCGTGGTGATCTTGTTCAGAGTTACAGGCAAAAATCTCCATCTTCCTTCTCTGTGAGACCTGTTAGGATGGAGCAAGAGTGTCTGAGGAAGCTGCTGTTGATTTTCTTGTCTGGGACCCAGAGCTGATAAAGCCAGCTTTTCTTTCTTTTTTTTTGTTTGTTTTTGCGGTGCTGGGGATTAAACCTAGGACCTTTGCACTGAGGTACTTCCCCATCCTTTTTTATTTTCGAGACTGAGTCTTGCTAAATTGCCCAGGCTGGGAGTCAGATGTGTAATCCTTTTGCCTCAGCCCCGCAGAGTGCTTGACCACAGAAGTGTGCCTGGCTAAAGCACACTTTCAGTCAGTTTGCTGAAGACTCATTTCCTGTGATAAGGGCAGCATTCAAATGTCACACAGAATTAGTCTTTAGATTTATTTTTGTATATTTTTACTGGAATTTCTAGACAAAAATGACAGTGTAATTCTAACAATCTTTGTGTATATATTAATATTATTCTATAATTGCTTGGTGTTTATTCTCATTGGCTCGCGTGACTTTTAGAGCTGAGTTTTTTTCATAGCTGCTTTGATGTCCTAGCAAGTGTAGTGAATCAGATATACTGTGTCTGTTAGCTTTTGCTGAGGGGCAGCCACAGAACCTCATAACAGATGTTTATTTCTCGCTTATCTTTGAGGTTTGGCAGACCTAAGCTAGGCTTAACTGTATAATTTTACTCATCTGACTTGTTTTTTTCCTCTCCCCTCACCTTCTGTTCTCTTCATTTTTTTGGAAAGATATCTGCAAAGATTTATCATTCTGTTTCTTGGCATTCTTTTGTAATATGGTAGTCTCAGGGAGTTTTTACTTTAAGAATTGGTCACATCACGGTTAAGGACTCTGCCTGACTTTAAAGCCCAGTTTGTTATTTACTAGCTGCGTGTTCTTGGGCAAGTTATTTCTCTGAGCCTTATTTTTGTCATTGACAAAATGAGAAATGTAGTACCATTTACCTTGTAAAGATACTATGAAGATTCACTGAGTTGATCCTTGTGAAGTTCTTAAATAGAGCCCGATTAGCAGACAATTAAAATTTAGCAATTCTTTTTTTATTTGTGAGCATATGAGTCACATGCCAACTTATGCCAACTTTAGTAAGTCTACCTGCTTTAATATAGGCTACATTGGTAGACCTTGGAAGAGCTTGTGTTTATTGAAAGTGCTCCCAAGAAAAGTGTGGCACCCCAGTGTTCCTGCTGGCAGGCACAGTGTTTGCAGTGGGGAGGAAACCTAAGTAGCAAGCAGTGGCAGGTTGCATAGGAGAATGATATAGAAGTGCCAGAGGAATTTAAAGAGTAAAACCATTGTAGTTTGCATATGCAAAAGAAATTTGCAAAGTGATAATGATTTACTCAGTTTAAGTGAATTGTTCCAAAGGCTGGACATAGTGTTCAGCCCTTTGGACTTCACCTTGCTGTGGAAGTCCTTGTCGGGCAAGGAAGTACCTAGGCAAGTCAGTGGCTTCAGAAGTTGGGGGAGGGAGGAAGGTACTTATTTAGTCCATCATCTGTGGTGTGAAAATATCAAATGAAAATTCCAGAAATAAACTGCTCCTAAATTTTAAATCAAGTATTATTCTGAGTGGAATTCTAAAATGTTGAAGGGCCATCTCCATCTTGTCTGAGACCAGAATCCTCCTCCTGTCCAGCAAATGTGCACTGCATATGCTGTAGCCCCGGGAGTTCCAGCTATGCTTTTTTTGGCTGGCTTTCCCAAACTGTCCCTAATCTTCCCCCTTCCCACAAGCCAGCTCCAAAGGCTCCCAAACTACATGGTCAGGAACAATCATAGCATAGAAATGGTTCAGTTCTCTGGTACCAAATTCTTTCTTAGTTTTCTTTTTGCTGAGATAAATACCCAACACTCACACGTTAAGGGAGGAAGGATTTATTTAGCGCAGTTTTTAGAGGTTTCAGTCTGTAATTGGCTGGCTCCAAGGCAGGTGGTATGGCAGACAGGCATGGACAGGGGACAGATAATTCACAGCAGGCAGGAAGTAGCAACACACCAAACAACCCCCTCAAAGCATAATCAAAAACAAAACAAGACAAAACACCCAGGGCTGACCTGCTATGGTTGATACAGTGTGTCAACTTGAGAAGTGAAGAAGTTTAACTGAGAGACTCCCAGGGTTCTTTGTAAATACCCTTATCCTGTGCAAAGGAGGGCAAGGAGATTTTGTGAGTGCTCCTCCCACCCTCCCACCCTATGCAGGTGGCCTGCATAGAGTATAAGGCAGAAGAAGAGGCTTGTCTGTCTCCTTTGTGCTCTGGCTGTTGCCTTAAAGTGTTGCCCTATGCCATGCCACCCAGCCTTGGAGCCAGCTGATTATGGACTGAAACCTTTACAAACAATGAGCTAAAGAAACCTTTCGTTCTTTCATTTTGGGTGTCAGGTGTTTTGACCCAGCAACAAGAGAAGAATAACCAAGACAGACCATAACTCTGTGTTCCTTATATCTTGACCTCTAAGGGTAGGTAGCACTCACATCCTTAATAGCATCCTTGATCCTAGCATTGCACCATGAATCAATTCCTGCTTCATACAATCTGAATCCAGCCATCTCTGGAAAAACACGCCTGTGACCACATGAGGCTTGGGAGACATCTGGCATAAGCTATAACAGAACGCATTCTCCGATTCATCAGGCACCACATCCTTTGAGTTAACTGCTCAGTATTTTTAGGGCCACATTGTCCCCTCCCTTCCCACACTTCTGTCCCATTGCAGATCTTCATTCTTTCCACATTGTTTCTTGCATCCTGTGCAGGTTCTCTTTGTTCCCTGCCTGATCTGGACCACAGTGCATCTTCTAACATAGCCTAATTCTTCTATCTTTGTCTTACAGAACAGCTTCTGGTTGAAATCCCATGCTGGAATTAACAATCATCACTCCTGTGCGCTAATAGATACCACTGTTATCCTCCTGTTAAAGTTGGGTCAGTGGGATTTGAGAGGCGCATCTAGCTCGGCCTTTCATTACTCACTACTGACTGGCCTTTGGTTGATGATTTCCAGAACTGCATGAGTTTACTGTAGCTGCTGAGACAAACCACAAATGGGGTGGCTTAACCTGATAGAAGTCTGTTGTCCCACAGGTCTAGGATTGAAATCTAAGATTGAGATGTTGGCAGAACCATATATATCCTCTGATGTCCATAAGGAAAAAATCCTTTCCTCTCCTATCTGCAGGTAGTTGCCCACAGTCTTTGGCATTCTTTTGCATATAAGTGCATCACTGCAATCCTCCACATTTACCCAAATATCTTCTTTCTTTGCACGTTTGTATCTGTGTGTAAATTCTCTCCTTTATAGAGTACAAACCATGTTATTCTTAAAAGTATTACTGCCCACCCTAATGGGCTTATTAACTTGGTTACCTTTGTAAAGATCCTGTTTCCAAATACAGCCACATCCTAAGGTACCAGAAATTAGGACTTTGACCTTTTTTACAGGACAGAGTTCTGCACCTAACAGTAATTCTGTTCTGTGAACGGTGACACTTGAGTTTTATCAGTTAGTTCAGAATGATGCAGCCAACACTAATTTAAGCAGCTTCGTTTTTGCTTTAAAAAGGATATATTTATATTTATATTTATATTTGGAGAGACACACACAGAGACAGAGACAGACAGACAGGGAGGGAGGGGAGGTGGAGGGGGACGGGGGGAGTTATCAACCAACTGATAGGTTTTGCTTAATTTTAATCATGGGGAGAGGGCAAAGAGAGGTGGGGAAGGCCTTTCTTTTGTCCAGTGATGATTTTCATGGTAGCTAAGTGGATGAACTGATCCTTCTTATTGGATAATCCTGTGGGGGCTACAACAAGCCCTTCCTCTTTGTGTTTGAATAAAAGCATTTTTTTGAAGCAGATGCTTCCTCCCACCTCTCTGGGCCTCACTCTGACCCTTTAGGATGGATTTTCATTTTCCATTGGGTCATAGGTTCAAGAGTTCATGCAGTATGTGGGAGGGAGATGGAGGAAGATGAGGAGGGGACAAAGGATGCTGTGAGAGGAGAAAGTAGGCCAAAAATAACACTTATTTAAGGAGTAATTCTATGGAGAAAAAAAATGGACAATGAAGGCACAAGACCAATGAAAGTAAAAACTAAAATAAATATTAGTCACTGTTTGCCTGTGAAGCAATTGTGTATATACCCAGGAGGCATTTTAGTGAACTGTTTGGAAATTAGAGAAGTCTTAAGAGAAGGAAATTTTGAGAGAAGGAAAAACCAGAGTTTTAGAATTTTAGAATTTAGCCGCTTGTCTTCTGCATTATTCTCAAGTAGAGGGGTGGCCCAGTGCTTTGGAAAGTCATGGCAGACAGCATTTACAGTCTGCAGTGAGGGCAGAGATGAGCAGAGTGAAAGAATGATTTTTGTGAATTCTAGAACGAGGTTTGGTAGAAGAGCCCCTTCTCCTCTAATACTGTAGCCACCTGGTAGGAAGGATTTTATGTAGAGTATTCCAAAAGTTTTGATCATCTTTGAAAAGAAATACTTTGTTATTAATCTTTGGCAGATGTATGTGGCTTAGCATTCTGTCTTGATTACTTTACTCTTGTTGCTGAGACAAAATACCCAACACCCAAAATTAAGGTCGGAAGTTTTATTTAGTTCACAGTTTGCGGAGGTTTCAGTCCATATTGAATTGGCTCCCAGACAAGGTGGCATTACTGAGGAACAACCATTCATGGTGACAGAAGACAGCAAAAACAAGAAGAGCTAAATGGGAGAAGAGAGAGAGCAAGCCTGTTTTCCTCCCTTATATTGTAATCAGGCTACCTGCCCCAGGGTTAATCTCAGCATGGACCATGACTCAGTCACAAACTCCAGAAGCCACTCTCAGCACTGCATGAGGCTTTGGGGGAACATCTAGACATCATTGCAACACATTCATTGATTTATGTCAGGGTTGTATATCATGCCACTGGTTTTATAGGCGGATGATCCAGCAGTGCCTGCTCAGCCACCTCCTGTGAGAATCTAAAGGGCTGGATGTATTGGGGATGGTGACAGTGGGAAGTAAGGTATCATATTGTTATAATTAGGTTTCGTTGGACTTCCTAGTTCACAGCACCTTGATGAACTGTGCTGGCTATGAGACTTACCTGGAAGGCAGGTCCCTCTCTGGATTGTACCTGCCTTAGTGCTTACCAGACTTGCCACAGCAGGTGGAAAAGAGGGAGTGATGGTAGGATCCTTTGTTATTATTAGAACTGCCTCTCAAAAAGGTGAGTTAGGTGAAATGAAGTGGGATGAAATTATGTTTAATAAGGAAAGATATGTTCACTTAGGGACTGAAAACCAAATGCAATAATACAACGCCAAGCAAATATGTCTTAGGATAACATGTGGTAGAAGCAATTCAGGAAGGTTGAGGGACCACTCAGAAAATGTAAGTCAGCCTTCAGAAGCTGAAGAATGAGGATGGTCCCCACATGTAGGAGAGCTGAAATGTGACAGAATTCTTGGGGCCCTGATCCTTTTCAACCATATTTTGCCTTCTTTCTCATTGAAATTTGGAACGGAGGCAAGATGTGCAGGACACTGCAAGGGGCCAGAAAAGCATAGCAACAGTGGGACTGGGGTTAGGCTTTGAGAGAAAGACTGCAGGAATGTTTATGTATTTTGGAGAAGTGAAGGGTGGCAGGGGCTCAGAATGGGGACAGATTTTTGAAATACGGAGGTGTGTTAGAAGAATTGTGGTGAACAGATGTTTTCAGTATTCACTAGGGACAAGACTAAACAGTGAATACACTTACCTTTTAGCCCAAAGGGATTGAAATGAGATTTCAGGGAAACCATCATAACAGGGAGAATATTTTGAAAAAGTAATCCACAGCATTTGCTTTTGAATAGTTTAAGAAAGCTCAGAAATACACCTTAGCTCTAGGCTAGTATGGATCATTTTCTTTAACTTGACTTTGCTTGGTAGGCTGTACACTCTGAATACATCACCTTCCTTCTTTTGCTTTCCTTTTTTTGTGCAGTAACATGATATTACAAATGTACTAACAGGAAACCAAGTTTGAGCCCTGGTCTTTGGTTTTTGAAGAAATGAGTTCTTTGGGAGTGATGAGGCTCACAGAGTAAGTGCAAGGGTAGGCTGCCAAGGAGACCTAGTTTCAAATCTTGGCTACAACTTACTGTGTGTTTTGGAACAGGTTCCTTAACCTCTCTAAATCTACTTACTCATTATTAAAAAGTAATATTTAGCTTATAGTTGTTGTAAGTATTCAGTAAAACAAGACACGTTGTAAGTAGTCAGTAAGGCAAGTGCTTGGCACGCATTTGGAGCTTAGTAAATGCTGGCCATTGTTACTGCTGTGTTGTAGACATTCAAATCAGCATTGGGAACTCAGATCGGCCTGTACATGTGACCTCTGCTTTTTTTCCTTTATTACAGCTACTGGCCTTCCTGCAAGGGCTTTTCACCTTCTATCACCATGGTTATGAACTGGCCAAGGATTTTGGTGATTTCAAGACACAACTGACCATTAGCATACAGAATGTGAGTAGGCATAGTAACAGGCTTCCATTCTCTGGTTGATGGAAGGAAAAAGCAAAATCTGGGTCTGGTTGCTGCAACCCCACCCATGTGGACTGGAATGGAGGCATGGAGGCTGGGTCTTGCTTCAGCTTAGGGGGCATCTGAGGATGGGCATTTAGGAGCACTTTGAGAGTCACACCATCATGTGGGTCAGACCACCATCTTCTCCATTATTTCAAAGCACTGCTTTTGTTCTTGAAGTGCTGCTGCTGATTATGTTTTACATCTGTCCAGCAGCCAGGATTTCTTTTGGCTGTGGACATCCTACCATTGCCCAGCCTCCCTTCTGTGCATCTGGCTGCCTGACTACAGGAGACCTTAGAATGCGTGCTCAGGGCGTGAGTCTGGGGGCGCGTGCTGACCTCTGGTGCAGAGGATATGCTTTTGTCCAGTGCTTAGGAAGGGTGACAGGAAATCCAAGTCACTGCGATTCACTCCCAGAGTTTTAAACACTGGACCTTTTGACAAGCAGAATTCTGTTTAGTGTGTTGGTCAGTGCTTACCAGAGCTTCAGTCACCTTCTCCAATGTATAGTGGACTGTGATGGCTTTCATGTGGTCTCTAGGAGCTCTTCTATAGGAAATAGCCAAATGCTTCTATGTGGGTTGTATTGCATGGCCTGTAGAACTCTAACATATGTATGGTTCTCTCTGTTATCCCAGAGATGAAAAGTTACAGTCTCAGAAATGGTTCTGCAACAGCATAGTGCTTGCCTTAGGCTGACTTCTTTCAAAGGCTAACTCTGAAATAAAGCTTTGCATGCAGTAGCTTTATTCTGTGTGTGTGTGTGTGTGTGTGTGTGTGTGTGTGTGTGTGTGTGTGTAGGGGGTGAAGCCAGCAAAGACTCCTTTGAAAGAATGAGCATGGAGCATGGTAGAGGGTTGAGCTGTGGTGCAGGCTCCTTGGTCAGTGATGTGGGAGTATGGGGCTGGATAGGCCTTCAGAAAGGGTTCAGGCTGTCCTCAGCAAGGGGATGACTTTGAGAACTGCAGCTCCCCTTCAAGGAGGTGCCCATCTGTGAGCTAACTGTGAGTATCATTCCCATAAGCTGGAGAAATATAAGAACCTCAGTCCTCAAGACATAAAGGCCCTAGGGCCATCTGAGTCAGAAACACCTTGGATGCTTATTTAAAATGCATGTTTTTGGGCCCAAAGGTTCTAAATTAATCTCTAGGTGCAAGACCTGGGTATTGGCATCTTTTTATAGGTTCTGTAGGTAATTTTGATGATTACTAGAGTCTGAGAGTCATTCACGTTTAGGCCTCTAAGACTAAAGTGTACTGTTTGAAGTGAATATTGACCTAATTCCTAGAGGGTTGAATGTTCCTGATTCTGTTTTAGATCTAAGGATTTTATTAGGTTACACAAAAATTGTATTTCTTTGCTTTGAGTAAAACTCTTTTCATCCTAGACAAGAAACCGTTTTGAAGGCACCAGGTCAGAAGTAGAATCCCTGATGAAGAAGATGAAGGAGAACCCCCTGGAGCACAAGACAATCAGCCCTTACACCATGGAAGGGTACCTCTACGTTCAGGAGAAACGTAAGTGCTTTGCGCAGCAACCATCAGGACATGCGCAGACCCTTAGACCCTCTGGAAGGAGGAGAGTGTCTTTAGCAATGCTTGGCCTACTGTGGGTCCATGCTTGGGTGAGTAAGAGTTTTGAATGGGAAAGATGGTGTCCCCAGAGTCTTACTTCTTCCAAGTGTCATAATCTGTTTTCTTTCTTGTGGCTGGGAATTCCCCTGTGGGATTCCCTGATGCTTGGTGGTTGCTTTTCATTCCCTGGCATCACTCTACTCTTGGGCATTCTCTACACTTAGTGTAGGAGCTGCCCTGATCATAGCAGCATTGGATAGTTTTGCATACTGGATCTTCTTGTCTATCAGCAGTCATATTCTTTGGTAGACTTATATATACTGTTTTCAACTGAGAGCAGTCATGATTGAGGCCCTTTTCCTTTTCTGCTTAACTTTTTTCATCCCAGTATTTAAATTTATGAAAAGTAGAAGCCAAAGGTCACCTAAGCATCTGCAAAAAGACCCATTGCCTGGTAATAATGATGTTTAAGGAATAATACTAGTGCTGCTAAGGTAAAGTGTTTACTGGTGCCTCATACATTCATGGCTTAGGGCTACAGAAAAGCTCTGTGATGGGGCTATGCTCTTGAGGGCAGCACTTCCAGGTTTGCAGTACCAGAAATTGAATGTTTTTAATGGATAGTTCCTAGAGATTCCTGCCATACTTCCTTAGTAGGAAACATCATTTCTTCTCCTCCAGGTTTGTGTTGATTTTGCATCCTCCTCTTAAGCAAATATCTTTGCTTTTAAAAGTGTCCTGATGGAATAGAATAGGAACTTGGTTTTGATGATTATTCTACTTAATTATTACTCATAAAAGTGCTTGGGTTTAACATTGTTCCTTGGTGAAAATGGAGCCCTAGTGGGTTTGGGGAATTGGCTATGTTTTATGTTCCCTATTCTTATAAGGCTGAGCTTGTGGATATTTGTAACGTGTAAAAACCACTTCAGCTATGTGTTTCATTTTCTGAATATAAAGTGATCCCCTTTTTGCCCCATGAGAACCTCCTACTAAAAGGTTTGAGATCAACTTAAAAGTACAAATTTTCAGGACTGAAAAGTATAGCTTAATGTTCACTATAGTACTTAATTTATTATTCACTTACATGTGTAAAATCAGTGTTGGTTTTTTTGAACTCTTACAGCACATTAGTCAATTTTGTTAAAATCTGCTCTTTTGACATCATGTTGCTTATCACTGGAGCCACTTTTGTGTTCTCTAACACAGTACAGTCCAGAACATTTCCTTGGCATACAGCTTTTTTTCCCCTTATCTTAACATTTTTCTAATTTATTATTTTGAAAAATTTTCAAACTTATAGAAGTTGAAAAGTTCAAGTTTCTTCCATTTGAATAATGGAATAACTACCAACTGTATGACTTTATCTAAATTCACCAATTTTTAGCATTTGGCCACAATTATATTTTTTTCTTTTTCCTTATTGGTGTATATATGCACATCATCTGCTCACACCTATTTTTTTTTTCCTGATTGCTCAAGAACAGGTGGCATTTATCATGCTCTTTATTTCACTGAGTATTTTTAAAGAATAAGGATATTCTTTTAAGTAATCACTCACAGGGCATTTAAAATTGCTTTGATATTTAAACTATAGTATATATTTTAATTTTCTTAGTTGTCCCAATAATGGCCCTATAAGGCACTTAATTTTCCTCTAATACAGACTCATTCTGCATTTAGTTGTCATTACTTTCATCCTGAGAACAGTTTCTGAACCTTGATCTTTCTTGACATTGACATTTTGAAGGACATACTCCAGTTCCCTTGAAGAAGTCGCCTCAGCATGGGTTTTTCTGATGTTTCCTCATGATTAGATTGGGGTTATATGTCTCTGGTTCAGTCCTATGTAAGAAGCTCTCTGTCTTTGGGCCACATCCTGAGGCATGTGGTGCCCATCTGTCCTTGATGGCAGTATTCATTTTCATCACCCAGGCAATATATTTTTCTTGTTTCTCCACTGCACAGTCATTGGTTTCCCTTTGTAACTCACTTGGAATCTGTGGGAAGCACTTTAAGATTATATAAATACCCTTCTCCTTATCATGTTCTGTCTTCCACAGATTTAGCCTTGGTAATCCTGGCCTAAATCAATCTGCACCATAATGGTTGCAAACTGTGTTTCTGGTCCCACCACTCCCAACACATTCATAGTTGCCTTTCACTGTAGTGTAAAGAAATATCCTCTCACCTTTTACTCCTTCTGTTTCTTCCCATCTGTCTGTACTTCTGTCTTTTCATTGTCAATATGAACTTACAGATTCGTATTTTGTTGTGATGCTCATATTGTCCAAGATAAAGCACATTTAAAATCTCTTGTGAACTTTCCCCCTCAAGCTACAAGAATGTATTTTGATGGTTTCTGTTTTGTTTGTCTTGATGTCCCAATATACATGCTATGGATTGCTTTTTAAGCTTAGTAAATGCCATATATGGTGGATTAACTGTTGGTCAACTTGTAACACTTAACTGAATTGAATCAGCATGGTTCTGGGTGTGAAAGCCCATCTGAGGATTGTTGCCCAAGCATAGAAGGAGAGCTGGAGGGGAAGATGGTGTGCTGTTGATTCTCCTGGAGAAGGTTATCACAGGCTTTCCTGATAGTAACTCAGTTGTTCTCATTGTTGGAAGAGTTTGGTCCTCACTGTCTCTGAGGATGACGGAGATTCTCTTTGGGGGAGCTCTGGTCCTTAACCTTCTGGCTCCAGTGCAGATCCTTCAGCCTGCTGGCACAGATCCCTCATCTAACTGATGCTGACTTTCTAGCTTCTGCCACTGACTTTGGGCCTTTCCAGGGTAGATCCTTTATACAGACTTGCAACTTGTGCAGGACATTGCCATGGGATATAGGCCCTCAGCTGGATTCTTTGGGTCTCTAGTGCATCAGATCTTTTGCATGCTTCTGCATTTGACTTTTTAGGTCATAGTAATCTTTAGGATTATTATAAAATAATCCTATAAATTATGTATCCTGCGTTAAATCTATTCCCTTGAAAACGCTAACTATAACATCATGCCATTGATAATTATTAAATGTCTGCTGACTATATTTTTACATATTTTAACCATTTCTATTGTGTGGGCTCTATAAATATCTAAAATTAGTAAGATATCCTTGAAGGCTGTTTATGCTTTCTTCTTCAAATTGTACTTTGCCGTTCAAAATAAAGGAACTAAAAAAAAAGATTGAAAAAAAAGAAACAAAATAAAGGGATTGGCTAAACACAGTTAAATCAGAGACTGTGAGCTTGACTCTATGGTATCCCTGTGACTCTTGATGTATAGTTTTGAGAGGATCTTGGATTGCCTTTGGGTATTTATAGTCACTTGCATTCTGTATCTCTTTTGTTTTCTATTCTGATACTTTTTGATTTCTGCTAAAGTAAAAAATTAGAGATTTGGAAGTAGATCAGAACCCATGATGTCAGAGTCTCTGGGCAGCTGTGTGGGAAGCATGATGTCATTACTGCAGATGGGAATGGTGGTAGGCACTTGGAAAAGCCTTTCTGTGTTCTTTCCTAAGTCGTCTTATTCTTGTTGGAAAAGAACGGAAACTTCAAGTGGAGGTTGATGATGGGAATATGAATTAGCTTCCCCAGGGAACTTCTACTTCCCTTATATTTTAAGACCCACTGGATGTAGCATTGGTGGGAAGAGTGTTCATGCGTCTCTGGGGAAAAGCTTTGGGTTGGTTCCATTTCTAGCCTGTGGGATCAGATTTCTATTTCAGTCTAACTGATGTGGAGAATACATTGCCCCTAAAATAGTATATGGGTGAATGAGCATTATGCGCTATGTGTTTCTGCAGTTACTTGTGTGTAGCTTATAGTGGATATGTGTACTGAGTTGCTTAATAGGAAATATTACCTTTCAGGTCACTTTGGAACTTCTTGGGTGAAGCACTACTGTACATATCAGCGAGATTCCAAACAAATCACCATGGTACCATTTGACCAAAAGTCAGGAGGAAAAGGGGTAAGTTCATTTTTTAAATTTCATGTTTGATTTGCTTGGCTAACAGATAATGGTAATAATGCAAATATACTATAGTACCTCCAATGTTTCACTGTGCTTCTCTTAATTTTAAACAGTAGTTCCAGTACTTGTTCATTGAAGATGTCTAAAATAAGATAATTATTCTTAGTTTTAAGATACATTAGGAACTACAGTTTAGGAAGATTCTTACATTTAACAAGTATTTCAAATGTTTTTAGATGCTAAAAAGTCTTGGATGACTTCATTCTGTGAAACTGATTCATCCTGCTCTCTCTCAATCCCTGGAGAGCTGCCAGTTGGCAGTTTAGATGTTCCAGTTTTCTACCGCTGTGTAACAAGTTGGCCCCAAACTTAACTGTTTTTAAAAGCACACGCTGCAGTCATTTTAGTATTTCCCAGTTTTTTTGGGTCAGGAATTCAGGAACCATTTGGATGATTGGCAAACCTTAGGGTTTCTCATGAGTTCCAGTCAGATAAAAGAGGAAGAACATTGCAGATCTGAAGCCTTTCAAGGTTGACCAGATATGCTCTCTCTCCTCCCCACTTCTTTCTCTGTGCCTCTGTATGGTCTGGCTGGTCTAGTTTAGACTGGTTGGGCTAGTTTAGACTTGTTTACAGCACATTGATGCAAGATGGCTTTGGGAATTCATGGTTTCAGGAGTGAATGTTCTAGCACTAAAAGCAGGCACTGCTTTCTAATAACCTAATCTTGGAAGTCATTAGCTTTACTTTTGCCCTGTTCATTGGTCGCAGATGGTCACAAAAGCCCACCTAGTTCCACTGGTACAGCACGCAGACCCTGTCTGTCCGTGGAGGGGGAATGTCAGTGTTTTCTTGTTTGAAGAGCATAAGGGGTAGAAGAGTTCTGGCCATTTTTGGAAGAGACAGTCAGGCCATGTCAGGCTCCCTGGTCTCCCTACCCTAAGGCAGCTCCTTCAGTTCTCCAAGATTTTTTTCTCGCATAGAGCTACTGCCTCATGTCCTGCTAGGCAGTCTTCACTCTTAATAGCTGCCAAATGTATTTTGTATGAGAGTGATCTGCCTTTTCTTTCTGTCCGCTTTACTACCTTCTTTTCTTCTCTTAGTAGGCCACATTTTGGTATGATTGTCCTTGCTTGAAATTTTTAAATTTATTGCTCAGAAAGTTTTGGTGTTCTTGGCTATGAGGTTTTGTGTCTTTCAGTATCTCTGGGAAATTCCCATCATGTATTGCTTTGAATTTTACCTCTCTTCTTGCTCTTACTATTACCTCCACCTGTGGATGTTTAAATGCTTTTAGTAAGGATATTTATATTTTTCTATTTCCTTAAGTGGTTCTGGAGATTGAGCCCAGGACCTTATGCATGCTAGACATTCAGTCATTAAGCCACACCTCTGGGCCTTACACTTTTTATACCTGTGAATCTTCGGACTACATTTTAAATGATCTCTCTGGTTCTGTCTTTAAATAATTTTGCAGTTTTATCTCCTTGTTGAGGAATTAGTACCCTGTAAACACTCCACCTGTAGTCCTCTCTGTCGTGTGTTTTTGTGCAGCATGTTGGGTTTGTGCATGTGAGGTGCTGTAGTGTCAAGGTGGAGAATGCTGACTTTGATTCCAGGCCTTCCCTGAGTAAGTGAGGTTAGGTGCAGTTATGGTTACTGTGGCTGCTCAGCCATACTTCACCCTTTGCTGTCTTCCACTTCCAGTTTTGTTTTTTTTTTTCCTGGCTTTCTTTTTATTTCAGCCACAATGGAGATTGTCAGCATCTCTGTTCCTTCCCTGTATCCAGGCAAGAACAAAGCTCTTTTATTGTTTCTTGGAAAGAGTGGGTTAAATTATAAATACTCTCAGGAAAACAGACATGTTAAAACACTGTAACATAGTGAACATCAGAGGTAGAAGGAATATTATAAATCTGTGTCATTAGGAGTCCCTGGTTTTCATGAAGTGGACGTAAAGGTAGGCCTGTTTTCCTTGGATCAAGTCATGGTCCTTTTCCTATTCTTAGTCCCCCTAGAAATCCATATCACTGAATTATTCTCTCTAAAGTCTTTATTTCGGGACTTTTTATTACACTTTCTCAAATCTTTAATGAAGAACTTTCTTGTATATTCATGACATCTCATATAAGCTTTGAAAGTGGAAGCTGGCTCAGAGCTGTTAAATCTGAAATATAGTTAGACATTAATGAGGTCAGGTCACTAATATTTGGATGCTTATTCTTGTCAAAGGCCAAAATAAGGACAGTTTACTTTAAAGGTGTTAATTAGCTTGATTTTTTTATTGTAGAACTGGACAATGCTTAGTTTCATAAAACAGAGTTGATTTTCTGATGAGCTAAGCAGAAGAGGTTGATTTTAAGACAGAGAAAGACTGGTGAAAGCAGAAGCGGAGAACCCGAAGTGAACTGGTCATTTTAAAGTTACTTTCCTTGTAGGGAGGGGCAGGGAGGCAGAAAGATAGAAAAATCACTGGTTGGTCAAATGAAGTTGGTTCAAGTTCACTTTCTGTGTAAGAATTAAGGCAGAGGGAACTACATTGTCATGCCAAAATGAAATGAGCTATTTGGGAAATTTGGCTGTTATTTCATTTCTCTTGGTTTCTTAAAAGGTCAAATAAACAGTTTAGTTTCAGGTTAGTGATAAGGAATGTTAGCATGGGTGATTCCATGTTGACTTTTCATCTGATCTCTTGAGGCCCATTGTGGGAGCCTAATCTGAAACAATGGCCTGTAAATTTTATTTAACCTACTCGTGTATCTTACAAAGTAGAAAAAGAACAGTTCTCAATCTGAGAAATTAATCTTGCTATTCAATAAGAAACAATAGAGATAAGCCTTGTGAATGTAAACTGTCTCTTAGGTTTTCTGTGTTTTTTTTGTTTTGTTTTGTGTGTGCTATTCTGATGTCAGTGAGTAAGTTTGCCCCATATAGTCCTTCTTCCCTTTATTTTAGCAAATTAGATAAGCTTGTTAACCCCTCCACCCCCCACCATCCTCCTTCAGAAAAAATATTAGCAGAGGCAGAAGAAACAAAAGCCCTAGAAGATTTGTAACTGACAGAAAAAGAACTCAGGGACAGTAAATTCTGTACTTCTAGGCAATACATCAGTGCTAGGAGGTGAAATTGTTACATTCCATTTACACAGTGGAATAGTACTCAGCTATGAAAAGAAACAAACTCTTAATGTGCACATGAATGAACGGTTAAGCTGAGTGAAAAGAAACCAGACCAAAACAGAGTGTGTACTGTGTGGTTCCATTTATAAAGATTATAGAAGATGAAATCAATCTATAATAACAGAAATAAGGCTGAAGGGTTGCCTGAAGATGGAATGGGAGCAGGTATGGATTTCTAAAGGAAGTGAGGATGTATGAACACATCTTGGGCATCTTACCCTAGGCAAGAAAGGTGGTAGTGGAGTCCATCTTTTAAAACTCTCAACAAATCTACATGTTAAACCTAGTTTAATAGCAACAGGAGCTCTTTGCATCTATTATAAGTTGGTGCTGCACTGTTGTGACCCATGAGGCCTAATGATGTGTGGTTCTAAACAACAGAATTTCCAAATTTTAGCTATAGGAGGCTCTTAGCCAAGAATGTTTATGATCAACTTGTCAACTCACCTGGTCATGAACACTCGTTTTTGAACGTGGCATCATCTTCTCTTCATGTATTACTTTTGTCACAGATCTTACATTCTGGCCGCATCTCTGTCTTCTTGTTAGGGAGAAGATGAATCAGTCACCCTCAAATCCTGTACACGACGGAAAACAGACTCTATTGAGAAGAGGTTTTGCTTTGATGTAGAAGCAGTAGACAGGTAAGTATTTGTTGCACTCTCTTTAGAAATAAATATGACTGGATTTGGATTTCATCACTTTTCCTTTAAGTCAGGACTTTTAAAGTTTTTCTTCTTTCTCTCATCTGTATCCCCCATTGTATCCTCTGGATTAGATTGTAGGCTTTGACTGATTTGCAAGGATCAGTACAGCTTCCACATCCTCCAGGCTCAGCACAGAATCCTGGGATTTGTTTAGCTTTGTTTACTTTAAAGTCAGCACTTCATGCTCAGGAATGTGTATTATGTTCCCTGGACTGTGTATGTGGGGTGGATTCCAAAAAAAAACTCTATTTAACATGATTTTATCTGTTATTTGAAGTTTTTTTCCCTCTTAAAGACATTAATGCAAAGATTCTAATGCAAATAAGCTGTACATGTTTTAGTTAAATTTAAAAATCCTTTAATTGCAGCATTTCACCTACCCCACTGTATGTGTATGCACACTCAGGAATGATACTAAACCACTTGCAAAATCAGTCTTTGGAGAGAGAGAGCTGTGTGTTGTATTCCTTGGGATTTATAGTGTCTCTCATTAAGTTGTACCATTTCATGGTGTTAAGCTAGTTTGACAAGATTCCAATTCTTTGAGACACTTTACTTGGCAACAGTTTATTTCTGTCAATGAAACTCACGTGTTAAGCTTATTTGAGCTGCCTGTTGAAGATCAGCCATGCTAGTACCAAGACCCTTAAATCTCAGCATGACGCTCATATTATGCCATTTAATCTCATCCCTTTAAGAAAAGCCACACCATTTTGCCAAGCCAGTTCTGATATCCTGCCTGGGAAATTCATTGCTGAGCTCTAGGGGATCCTGCAACTGAGTGCCCCCTGAGATGGGCTGTGCTTCTGTGCTGGCAGGATTGAAATGCCTTCTTGTGGCAGCTGTTTCTTGTGCACCGAGCCTGCTGGAACGTGCATGCCCTTTTAGCCTAAATCTGAAGTTCATGGAAATAACCAAGCTATTTAGTTATTTACCTTTGGTTTCAAACCTGGCAACTTGGGTTCAAATTTTGACTTTGCTGCTTAGTAGCTCTGTGATTTTGAGCAAGTTATTTAATCTCTTTTGGTCTTGATTTTCTCATCTGGGAAATGAAAATTGTTATACCACCTGGTTCATAGGATTGTTATAGGATTCAAGGATGTAATACATGTAAAGTGCAGAGCAACATGGCAGATAATAAAGGCTTAAAAAATAATAGCTGTTGCTATTTGTTGTCATTTAGCTTGTCTTTCATGTTCATCAGACTTGTACTTTCTCTTTTAAACATGGAGGAATATAATGTATAAATAAAAGAGTGCCCCTGCCCTTCACCGTGAGTGGGTCTGTGAGAGGGATGCTAAAGGACGAGGATATGGAGAGTGGGTAGAATTGGGATAACAGGGGAATTGCAAAGTGCCTTCCTTACATCAAATTGGTTCTTGTTTTAAGCAATCTGAAATCTGGATGCTTTAAGTGTGTGTATATTGTATGTTATACATATACCATGGAATTAAGGGAATCCACGTTGTTGGTTCTGTGGAGGTGTTCAGAAGATGTGCTGGTGGAGAGAGAGCTGGTTTTGATGATCGTGGAGTATGCTTCCTAAAGATGACTGTGTGAGAGGGCGTGCTTTCTGCTGCGGCTCTCCATCAGACTGAGAACAAGCTCAGAGATGCTTTTGGGAGCTGAGTTATTTTCCCGGTTTACCTCTTCAAAGTTCCCTGAGAAGTTTGTAGGCAGTTAGAACTCCCTGTTGCATCTTAATCTCATTTCTACCTTTGTCAATACAGTATTTCCAGCACTGTCCTTCCTTTATCATGCCCCAAAGCCTTAGCAGACCCCAATTTTAAGCTGAGAGCAGATATTTCACAGTTGAGTCACTGAGTGGACTTCAGAAGTTGATTTTTTTCCAGTGTCTGCCTCTGGTCTCTGACAGAGTTCGGAACCAAGCTGCTGAATCTCCCCTGTAACAGAAAGTCAGACATTCTATGAAATCATTTATCTCAATTTTATATAGGTCTCACGGAGGAGGTTACCATTTGGCAGGATTCCCTCCCACCCCCAGCTGTTTTTTTTTTTTCCCCTCCAATGTCCTTTTGTATTTTCCTCACATACCTAGAAGAGGATGAGAGCAAGAAGGACAAAGTATTTCCATGTACTGAGCAGCAGCTATAGCAGCCAGGGGTTCTTTCTGCTACTGACTTGTGACTTTTCCTTTATCATGTGCCCCCTATAGCAAGGAGGCCAGTGCTGCTGACCCTGCTGTCTTTGGCCAGGGGACCCTCATCTCCACCTGCTGCCTGCAGGACCAGGGGTCATGGTGCAGCTTAGCACCTAGGAAGTGTGGATGCAAAAGAGGAATGGTTATAGTTAACAGTGGCAAACCTTCAAAATGCTTGCAGAGTATGCTTGTGATACAATATAGAAGCATTTATGTAGTGGCGGTTAATGTGGTATTGTGTCAAGATACACATACATATCAAACTGTGATTTATGTGACTTAGAAAATGAAATGTTATGGGATTTTAATGCTGATACTTCAGAAGCCATAGCCTTTAGAAAGTGTTATTCCAGGAGATTAATGGGGTAAGTTAGTCATATCGAGGTCTCTTTTTTTGTGGTAGGACTTACTTGCATTCTGTATCCACTAGGGTGCTGACTAGAACCACAGAGTCTAATGCCTACCCCAGACCTGCACGGTCCAACCATTTTGAGGTTGATATCCTAAAATCATATTTTCAAGCTGTTTGGTTATTCATTATTCTAATGATTAGTGAATTATACACAAACATTTCAAAGGACTGTTTCATCAGAGTACATAAAATAATTTTTCTCACTAGAGACTTTTCAACAGGCAACTATGCTAAGACAAACAAAAACAAAGCAAAACAAACATAAACGCTCAAGCTCCTTTACCACGAGTTTGGTACCCATACAAAGGGGAACCGTGTTGGTAGTAGGAAAGGTCGTGTCCAGTCTCTGACACTGATGCCTTCATCAGAACAAAGGTATTCACCACCACCAACACAGTAAAAGCCCACCTTTTCAGTTAAAAGGTGTTAATAATAAAGGAAGACTAAAGAAGCTTGCTGTTCTGTATAAGCTACTCTTCATACATTATTTCATGTAATCTTCATTGTAACCCTGGAAGGTGGCAACCCGGTATTCCCACTCCACTGACAAGGAGCCTGCAGTTCAGAGGGACGAAGCTCTGCTCGCCAGGTTAAGGTGGGATCTGAAGGTCGTGGCACCTTGTTCCAAGGTACGCTACTGCCACAAAACTCGGAACATTTTGGAAATGTTTTCAGAGATGAACCAGGATGCTGTTGGCAGGTGTATTTCATGGATACTATGGTGTGTTCACTGTGCAGGTGTTAGAATTTGAGAAGTGCTGTTGTCACTCTAATTATTTGCATTTGGCATCTTAAACTAATGGTGCGATAAACTAAACTTGCATCTGTCCTTTCACATACTACCTTGTGACCTTTGGAAAGGTCTCACATGACTAAAGCAAAATTAAGTTACACAGACAGATCAAAGAACTAGGCGTGTAGTAATTATTGCATGCATGCTGTTTCTTTTTTTTTTTTCTCCCCGTACACCTTTTCTTTCACCTTTTCTTTTTAAAATGACATTCATTTTTAAAAACTTTTTATCCAGAGGCTATCATGAGTAGGAGAAATCGTACTATTAGCTACCCTTTCCACGTTGCTAGTTATCAGGGACCCCTGTCGTGAGTCTCCAGTTTCCTGCCAAGTGTTTCAGTGCACAGTGGGAAGAAAGAGCAAGAGACAGAATTGGGGTACAGCAGGTATCTGGGATGACCACTTGTTCTGGGTAACAAAAGGCGTAAGGTCCCAGAACCTTGGTATTTATTTATTGCATCTGAGTTGAGATCACTGGGTGAGGGTCAGTGGGTGTTTCTGGGTATATAGTAAAGGTGACTGTGCTGGGCTAGTAAGAACAAAAGCGTTTTTGCAAGGACAAGGATGCCACAGGGACAGTGAGGAAACTGTGGTTTCCCCAGGTGCCTTCTCTCAGCAGGTCTTACCTTGCCCTGTGAGGGCCACAGCAGTCCTTAGCCCGAGGGCTTCCAGCTGTGACCAGAAAAGTGTAGGGAGTTTCTTGATTTCAGTTAGGCTCAAGGGAGGGTGAGAACAAATTTTGGATATCCCCTAGACTCATTTTATAATTCGTGATCCCCAATATCAAACCATTCATGCTGTTTTAACAGTTGTTTAAGTATATCCCAGTGTTCTGCTGTCAATTTGTTAATCCTCAAATCATGGTGAAAAGGAGTTAATGCTTGACATGTGCATCCTACGGGGAGTACTGTTGTGACTCTTTGCCCAATGAATTAGCTGGAGTGCAAATTACGTGTTAATCTAGGATATTTGGATTTAGAGCTGGAGTCTTGAACTCCTGTGTGTTAATGTTCCTTTTTAAGACTGAATACATTTGAAGAAATCTTCTGATCCTTTTAGCTTTGATATTTCAAAACTACATCCTACTCTTTCCCGTCTGCATAATTTCTGAGGCCACATCTCACTTAGACCCTTTTCCTTAGTGCTTTCTCCTCTTCAGAACTAGTTCAGGGTGAAGTTCAGACCTCAATAACTCAAGGTCTGTGGTTTATTCTGAGCAAATGTTTCACAGAGTAATATTAGCTCTTTATGTCTTTGATATTCCTTCAGAAGGGTTTTATTGTCCCCAACGTTGAACAAAGTTAAGAGAACTTTAAAAAATTTCTCCAATCCCAAATTTAAAACCTGCTTAGATTAAGGTACAGTGTTGATCAAAATGAACATAGTGGTTCTTTCACTTGTGGTTGTGGGCTGTTGCCACATACTCCAATGGAGAACCTTTTCATATTTTCTTAGAAGGTGTCTTTCGTAGCAAATGCCTCTGCTGAATTCATGTGTTGAAGTCCTAATCTTTAGTTTTTGAAAATGTGACCTTATTTGGAGGTAGGGTTTTATAAATTTATCAAGATAAAA